TATTCGTGTGCATATTTTCCCCATGTGGCACTTTATCAAGTAATTAATTCATTATGACCCAAGAACAGACTCTGTGTGGTGTACATTCTCTTAGGTTTGTTGAATTTTGTCTGTTTGATAGCAGATCTACTTTGATGAACACCCAGTGAGGACTTGGGAAAATGCCCAACTGTACTCTTTCTGTGGGTGTTCTATACGTCAGTTGCATAGAAGTCGCTGGTAGCTTGTGTTGCTCAGTTCTCTGCATCTTTTCTGATTGTCACTCCAATTGTTTCTCACTGGATACCAATGAAAATAAGCATCCTCCAGCACAATGACTTCTAGCAGTTTTGCAAATGTTCATATAATTTACCCTTTTTATACCTTTCTATTTTCAGCCAACCCTGGAGACTGAATTGGAAGTCTCTTGTGAACAGCAGGTGACTGGCTATTCCTTGGCCCACACAACCTACTGGTCTTTTGACTGGTGTACTCTGGTCATTTACACATAAGGATGCAATATGGTATGTCAAGGGAAATCTGTTGTTCTATTTATTTCAGCTTGTTACATCTAATTTTGGGTTTTTCTACTTTTATCTTCCTGTCTTCTGATTTTTAAGACATTCCATCCTGGTATGTTTAATATAATTGAGTTTATCTCTTTCTCCCCTATTTTTGTGATGGTTGCTCTGATTATTACAGCAAAATGAGCGATTTTATCGTTGACTAAGAGTATTCAATTTTTACTACTTAATGGGGCTGGAGAGATGGCTCAGTGGTTAAGAGCACTGTCTACTCTTCTAAGGGACCTGGGTTTGATTCTTAGCATCTGACCCTTTTCTGGCATCCACAGACATTATGCCTCCACACAGTATGCAGAAATACATACAAATGAAACATCCATACATATTTTAAAAATCACTGCATAGTTTGACTTGTGCACACTCAATCTCATCTACATGTCTTAACAGCCCCACTTCAAAATGTTTTTGTCTGAGCATCAGATGCAATTGAAATATTTTTTTCAATTATCAAATATTAATTACAGAACCTGTGAGGAAATGATGGCCACACTGTATTTACAGAAGTTTAGCTTTCTTTCTTGAGGCACCTACTTTCTTTCTTTCCCATTTCCTTTCTGTTTGAAGACCATTGGTTGCCAATCTTCAATTGGAGGTAGACTGGCTAGCTTTTGTCCACTTGATACAAACCCTGGAAATAGGGAACCTCAATTGAAAAGCTGCTACCATCAGACATGGGCATGCTTGTGGGGCATGATTTTTCTTAATTAATGATTGATGTGGGAAAGAGGACCTAGCCCAAGCCCACTGTGGGCAGTGCCATACCTTAATAGGTGGTCCTAGTTTGAATTTAAAAAATCAAACTGAGTAAGCCATGGGAAGCAAGACAGTAAGCATGGCTTCTGCTTCAGTTCCTGCTAGACAGCCTGTCTGGCTTCCCTGTGTGATGCACTGTAGCCCATAAGTTGAAATGAGCCCTTCCTCTGCAGGTTCCTTTTGGCTATGGTGTTTACCACAGCAACAGAAAGCAAACTACAACAGCAGGCTTGCTAGTAGGTCAGAATTTTCATCTCTTTTCCCAAGAACATCTCTGTCTTCCTCTATTCTCTGAGGATAGTTTCACTCAATATAGAAGTCACAATTGAGCAGGGCAGTGGTGGTACACACCTTTAATCCCAGCATTCAAATGATGGGGGATGTCCTCCTGTTTCTCTTATTGGTTGATGAATAAAATACTGATTGGCTAATGGCCAGGCAGGAAGTATAGGTGGGGCTACCATACAAAGAGAATGCTGGGTAAAGAGGAAGGAAAGCGAGGCTGCCAGGGAGATGCCATGTAGAGACCTGGAAGATAGAATACACCAGATGTTCTCTGGTACGAGAACACCATGTAGGAATACATAGATTATTAGTTATTTGTTAATAATTAAGACAGAGCTAGCCAGTAAGAAGCCCTAGCCATTGGACAACAGTTTATAAATTAATATAGCATCTATGTTTTCATTTGGGGCTGAAGGGCGGCGGGACCAGGCTAGAAAGAAACTCCAGCTACACTCAAGAGGCAGAGGCAGGTGAGTTTGAGGCCAGCCTGGTCTACAGAGTGAGTTCCTGGACAGCCAGGGCTATACAGTGAGACCTTGTGTTTAAAAACTAAGCCAAACAAAAAACAAACAAAAGTCACAATTGAAGCCTGGGATGGCAGTTCATCCCTGCTCATCCCAATACAGTGAGTTTGAGGCTACCCCTAGTCTAAATGAGACCCTCTCCCTTAAAAATTCAGTCCATTTTGTGTTCTTGGACCTTCAAAAAGTTTGTCCAATTTTTCCTGTCTTTCACTGCTTCATGCAACCTCACTGCCATTCTAGTTTGTGTGTGCCCATACATGGCCCAGCATTTCCCAGTGGTTCCCTGTAGGATTTTTCCCCCTTTATCTTTAGTTTTCAGAAGTTTATATTCCTTGTCAAAGATTTTAAAAGTAAAATTTATTGAGCACACTCAAGGTATATGCATGAGGAGATAGTGACCAGTAGAAAGCAAGTTAATATATTCACCATAGCATGTGTGTAAAGACCAGCCACAACCCACTCATTCAGTGAAAATCTGAACACTTAATACTATTAGGACCCGCCACCTACATGCTGCACTCCAGATCTCTATCTATCTGCTACTTGGAGTTTTTAGAACCATAACTACCACTTCTTCCTCCTCTACAATAAATAATGTCAATCTATATGTATTTGGTCCATTCCCTACACCTCTATGTCTCTCCATCTTTTAGAATCCACAAAGAGATGAGATCAAAAAATACTATTTGTGTGCCTGACTTATTTCCCTTGGCCTGCATTGTGGAATTTGATTGATATTGTTTAGTTGGTTTCATGTATCTATAAATCTGTATTTTTGCCTCCAGATTTGGGGAGTGTGGTGCTACCTTTTCCTTAAATGCTGTTTAGAACCTCTCTCTGATTCCTCTCCAGGGGCTCCAGTGACCTTTTGTGTCTGCAGGTCCCCCATACCTGGAGCTTTTTTTTTTTTTTTCCAGTCTGCATGAATTCTACTGGTGTCAGTAAGTTCACCAATACTGTCTTGTTACATCCACTTTAGAGGGAGAGAAAGAGAGAGAGAGAGAGAGAGAGAGAGAGAGAGAGAGAGAGAGAGAGAGTGAGTTAGTTTAGGTTGGAGAACAACCTCCCATGCCATCCATAGAACTACCATTCACCTTCTCTGAAATGGGGTCTCTTATTGGCCTGGAGCTCACTGGGTAGTTCAGACTGGCCAGCGAGCATGTTCCTGGTTATCTCCTGTCTTACTGCCCAATACTACCATTACAAACGGGTGGCACCATAATCACCATTTTTACATGAATTCTGTAAACCAAATTGTAGGTCCTTGTTCCTGCAGGGCAAGTGCTCACTGGGTCATTGCCTCAGCCTTTTAGGAAGGTTTGGTTTTAAATTTCCACCAGCATCCCTCTGTAGGTGCTTTCTAATTTTTTCCTTTAAGGAAATTTGTATTTGTTTGTTGAAGCATTTTTTATGATGGCTACTTTTGTTAGACCCCCGGAAAACTCAGGCCTCCGGGGTCCCAGGCCAGGACCGAGGTCACCCCAATCACCAGGCAGATTCAAAAACTTGCTGCAAACTGCATGAGGCTTTATTGTTGTTTAACAAACTAACCCCATGTTAGCTCGGGGCTTTCACCCACCCGCCATGGCGGATCGCTAGCAAAGACAGCTCGAACCAGCTGCAGAGAGATCTTGTAGGGCAGCGTAAGGGGAGTGTCTAGGGGTACGCACAGGCTCAGGATTGGTGTGCCTCCAGACTTGGAGGGCTTGCCCTGTGTTGATTGGCCAAATGGCTGTTATGGCCCATAGGCCTTCCCAGGGTGGTTGCTATGCTCTGCGTGTCATTGCTGTGCACTTGTCTGTAAAGCACCCCCAGAGATGTAAAGCATAGCACCACCAGCTAACTTCTGATTGGTTCCTTGCCTCGAGGCTGGGATCTGACTTTCTAGTGACTAGGACAAGGTCAGACAAGCACGTGTTCAGCTGTTATGGCTGCCGACAGGGGCAGGCATCTGACCTTAGTGACTAAGACAAGGTCAGACAAGCTGTTATGGCTGCCGAAATGGGGAGCTGGTCCCTTCACTTTAAAATCTAGCCTCTGGTGCATATTTATGTTGGCATAAACTTTCTGAGCCACGTGGAGCATTTCCCGCTATGACAGGTTATTTTCCATTGTATTTCAGACATTATGCCTATTACCCAGAGCCTGCAGACTCTGAGTCTTGAATCTTTTACTTCAGCAGACAGCACCGCCATTGTTATGCTGAGTGAGCAGGCAAGGACCTGCTCTGTGGGCTGTGGTTCCGCTAACAGTTTAACCAGCACAGCTTTCCAGCGCTACTGATCTGCTGTTTATCTAGAATCCTTGCGTCCCCCACCCCACCCCAGGCTGGCTGAGGGACAGAGAGTAATGTGTAGGTGGGAGAGGGGTACCAGACATTATGCTGGCCTGCCCGTTACCTGGAAGATGCACTCAGGCAGTAACCTGGTCAGCCCAGGGTTCCATGAGTACTAGTCTGCAAGAAGGTGCAAAGGACCCCTTTAAAAGAACCCCACCCACTATGTTCTCTTCTCTTGCTCTCCTCCCCTTCACCCTCCCTCTGTCTTTCCCTTCGTCTCTCTCTTCACCCTACTTTCGCTTCCCCCTCCTTTAGTAAACTCCATGGATAATGTATCTCTTGGTTGATAAACAAAAACCACAGGAGTGGCTTTCTTTGAGTGGCATTGCTGTGGTCATTTCCCCTGCCTGTGGGAAAGAGTGCTTTCCTAGTGTGTGGTGATATTTTGTTCATGATATAACCAACAACTAAGGTTGTCTTCTGGTCTTTACACAGAACACATGGAAGGCACATGTTCACCCACCTACTCACAAACACACACAGATGCACACAAATGCATACAAAAGACTTATAAGAAAAAAAAGAAGATAAAACATGTTTCATTAGACTTACCAAGGTCATAATTTTTATTATACTCTGAATAAGGCTGATATTTAAAGAGCAGAGAAAATGCCTATACAAAAGTTTTATAGAACACTCATTTACATACTGGATATATATTCTTTACAATATAGAATAGTGAAAACTGCGCTAACAGATAAGACAGATAAGGCAACATTACAATGTCTTTGACACTGAGGATAAATGCATTGTGGCTTCTAATATGGGTACAGCCCAACACTGGAGACTATAAGACCATTAATGAGAAAGTTAATGGGACCCTGGCTATATCTATTGTAAGTGGTAGGTAGGGTGTCACTGAATTTACTCCCAGAAGAGTGTACTAACTTGTGCCCAAATGATGCCCTTGTGGCACAAGCCTGGACAATGCCCCTTCCCAGTGTTTCTGAGCACACAGTATAGTCTATGATGCTGTGTCTCACCTTGTTCTGTTCAATAAACATGTTATACACAGAAGACAGAACTTAGTCCTACCAGCTTGTAGAGCTGTCTTCCTGTGGTTCCTCAGAGCAAATTTCTTAATATCCTTGACCACTTTTACCTTGAGTAAAGGTCATACCTGGTCAGTCAGTTTTGAAAGCACGTTCATGTGGCTTCTTGAATGCATCCCATGCTGACCATCATGGGAAGCCCTGAAATCTCCAATTAATTAGAAGGCTAGTTTCAGCTCTGCCCTGTTGATTTCTAATCAGGCCATCTCCCCCTCCAGCAGAAGGAGTCTGGCCTATGGTCTTTGGGTCACATTTGCATATAAACCATCATAGGACATGGCACTTCTTGGCCAGAGCACAAATGTCAGTCCCCACCCCCACCCCATCTGGATTTTAGCTGCATATGAATAGCTGAAACACTAGAAGCCTCTGTGGAAGACATGGGGCCTCTAGGGAATGATGCACATTCCCTCTAACAGGCACATCAGAGTGTGTCCACGAAGGAGGTCCTTAGAGACCAAGGCAAACATTTGGCACAGAAATGAGGCACTTGCTTTTGGTGCATCAATAGGAGCTAAAAAGTGGAATGGTCCACCTGTATACATACATACACATACAGGAGCTAAAAGTGGAATGGTCCACCTGTATACACTCACAAACAGACACAAGCTAAAACTGGAATAGTCCACCTTCACATACATACATACATACATACATACACACACACACACACACACACACACACACACACACACACACACACACACAGTTGATTTCAATTCTACATATAGTTCCATCTCTGCCCCTTTTGAAACAGAGGATCACCATGTAGATTTCCAAACCCAGCCTGACAATGGTTACCTATCCCAGCTATGAGATTTGTAAGCTGGCACTGGACTTTAGAAATCAGAGAGTAGGAATTTCAGGCTGGGACAGGGATGATCAGAGCCTTCCTGGGGTGTAAAGTTTGGTGTAAAGTTCTGAGTGAAGGAGACTCTGGCTTTGTCTCCCAGTAGCCCTGCTCCACCTCCATACTGGGGAGTGCTGGGCTCACTAGCTTCTTCAAAATCTCTGACCACTGATAGAAGTAGGCAGGAAGCCTGCAACACTGGGTGCCGATCTTAGCAAGAACCATCACATCTGATTCAGCAGCTAAGATGACTCAGCAAATCAAATCTAGCCTGTGAGGACTAGAGAATTCTTTCTCTTCGTCCCTCTTCTCTCCCTCATGACACCCACATAGGTCCCCATGGAAGCTGCAGGTGCCACAAGGAGAATCATGGTAACAGCTTAGAAATGTCACATGCACTTTAGATCACACAGGCCTGAAGATGGCCCAGTCAGTCTTGCAAACAGTCTCAGTCTCCCATTTCTCCTGGACATTCCCACCAGGAAAGAAATCATCATCCACATATGGGCAAGACACGTTGCTGTGCAAATAGAGGGTGGGCTGCTTGAGGCAAAACTGTTTGTCAGTACTGAAGATGCAGGACTGCGTGGTGTCACCCTGAGACCATTGTTCACCTTCTTCTTGAGGGGACAGTTGTCTCTTGTGTGTCTACAAGGGGACAAGCCTTCTAGCAATCACGGTTTAGTCGGCTGCAGCATTTGACATGGGTGCAGTATGGCAATGGCAAGCAGTTATAAATAATTTGGCATACGTAAAATATAAATTACATAAAATGGTATTTTTTGATTCCGTCTTCTCATTTTCCTTTCAAGGTCCTCTAGGCTCTCCACAGCCCAGCTGGCCACCTGCGAGTAGGATCATGGAGTCCTTACCACCAGCAGTGGGGTCTCTGACATTGATGTTTCTCCCCAACACCAGAGGCTTCCACTGCCCTCACGTCACACCCCTTCAACTGTACCCTAACTTAGACTCCCACCATGTTCCAACCTGCACGAACCTTCACTAACCATGCCTCCCCTTCTCAATTTCATCACCGTCTACTGTAGAAAGACCAGATGAGGGAGTCGCTGGACAGAGCCCTTCTACTGATAAGTGGGGCACCAAGGTTACTCAGCCCCTGCCAAGCAGAGTGGGTGTTCCTCATCCACACAGATGCTAGTGAGCCAGGGACTCAGGGTCACCTTTTCTTCTAAACTCTCTCCTTGTACAGCCCGTGCCTGTGGGACCCTGGGGAGGCATTACCTGGCCCAAGATCCTTCCACTCAAAATGCGCCTGACTATGTGGGTGTGTTGGATGAGAAGCTACTCTCTGGAAAGGCCTATCAGTGGTGATGTTGTTTGTTTCTGGTTTGAAGAGCTGCCATATTCTCCCCTCTTGGGTCTGGAATGTGAGGATTGTCAGTCTGGTATAAATGGGGGCCCGCCTCACTCCACTGCCATTCCAAGGGCCTTGTGAAGCATCTGGCGGGCTTGGCTATGAAGGACTTAGATCTTCTTAGGGGAGCCAATCATGACCTTTGACACAAAGTTGACAATGGCACTGGCAGGCTGCTCGGGGTCATGCTCTGCAAACAGGTGGCATACGTTGTCTGTAGCACTGCCCTGCTTCCTGGCCACAAATCCAAAGACTCTGCAAGAGATAAGTCTGGGTCAGAACAGCCAGTACACTGTGCAGCATAACACATGCATGCACATGCAGCACCCATAAATGCATGCACCACATATGCAGGATGTCATTTCACACAGCAGCAACCTGGGAGCAATAGCAACTGTACCTATAGTAGGCTATGATGGGCCAAGTACCAGCTTGGAGACCTATCTACCACCCTGACCTCTGGTCCTTGGAAACTGCAAGGAGAGTGAGTACTGAGCCTAGAGGAATGGTATCCCACCCTGGATCAAAGCTGAGGCCCTGCCTGCTCCTTAGCACGCACCTCTTCTAAAGGGCTAGAGGTCTTCAGGACACTTTCTACAGAGTCCTGAGCACCAGCTGGCCATGCAAAATCAGGGTCTCCTCTGGAGAGTCAAGGCCTTAGGGACTCCAGGAAGAATGCCCGAAGCTCCCAACCCTGCCTACACCAGATATCCAACCCAGAAGGCTGATACTCCAAGGACTCCTCTCAGGCCTATGAGACTATGAGACTATGGCTGTCTGCTACTACTGATCAGTTCTCCAGAGCAGGAAACACTGAAATGGGCCTGCCGGGAAGGAGGCATGTGATGACCATAGGAGAACAGCAGTGTAGATTATGCAGAGGAAGCCAGTCGGGATGCAGAGTGAAGCCCCTGTAGTTGGGGTGAGGATTAGGCTCCCTGACTACCTTGATGGCAATGCTGAGCAGAGAATGAGAACTTGTAGGCCAAAGGTACAGAACATAGTTCCTTGAGTTTGGAAATGTTGGGCACGGGCTTCAGTTCTGCTCACACGCATAGGTCTGGGGGCCTCAGCAGAACTGGCACACTCTTAAATGGCTGGATTAAGACATGTCTCAGTGTGTAGGAAAAAGGACAACACAGATACAATATAAACAGTGCGTGCGCATCCATCCCACCACAGGCAACAAGCCAACACCATGCAGGCCTGTACTCTAAAATCCAAACGCTTTTCCTTATTTTCTGCTTTCAGTTTAACCCCAACAAATGATCCCACTGACAATCACTGCTTTGTTGTGTTTCATCTTCTAAATAAGCCCTTCTTTGCACATCTAGAACTGAGTTCAGTTCTGCACTGTGATTAACCTCAAAAAGAGAAGAAACACTGGCCACTTACTTGGAGGAAGGGCCATCTTTGATCCACCTTGAGAATTGAAGAGACAAAGAATTTATGTTAATGTTTTAAAATTAAAGGGCAAAAGGATACTTTTCAGTTATAAAAATGCAGAATTCTTACTTCCTGTCTTGTGGGTCCAAAGCACAGAAAATCACACTGCTCACAGGGTAATGCCTCCGAAAGAAGAGCCTGTTGGGTGGGTAGAGAAAGTAGTTCCAGTCACTGGAGTCTAGGATGACGGAAGATGGGCTGGGTAGGTTTGTCATTTCCCCAGCAGGATGTTTTGTGGAGTAGAAACTGATGCCTTTACTTGTCATTTGGGGAGAAGAACAAAGTATTTGTTTATGAACAATCAACAACTGAAACCGGGTAGGAGGGTTCTCGCAAGTGGCCAACAGAAGCACCACAAAGGGTGACAGAGTCAGCCACAGGGAAGGTAGCGGATGGATGTATAGGCTCTGAGAAACTGGAGGGGCAAGTATAAGATCCCATCTTCAAACTATTCAGCAACTTGGGAAGATGAAAACAAGGCTCACTTAAAGAACTGGCCCTGGGGAAGGCACTGCAGGTGTGAGGGGTGGGGGGAGGCTGTAGGGAGGCTCCTGGTACGACACTGTATTACTTTGACTGACAGGAGCTGCCCACCAATTATGGAAATAATGATGCAAAGACAAGCCAATTGATTCTAGTCCGTCTCAGTGATTTTAAAGTAATAACTTGGAAGATCCTGCATTTTAAACGAAATATTTAAAAGAAACCAATCTTGGGCTGGAGAGATGGCTCAGTGGTTAAGAGCACTGCTTGTTCTTCCAAAGGTCCTGAGTTCAATTCCCAGCAACCACATGGTGGCTCACAACCATTTGTAATGAGATCTGGTGCCCTCCTCTGGCCTGCAGGCAACATGCAGACAGAACACTGTACACATAATAAATAAATCTTTAAAAAAAAAAAAAAAAAAGAAAAGAAACCAATCTTGAAGCTGGAGAGTTGGCTCATGGGCAGCATTTGCAGGGCAATCATGAGGACCTGAGTTCAGATCCTCAATACCCATGTGAAGATGGGTATGCTGGTGTGAGTTGTAACTCTAGCAATGGAGGGGCTGGGGGACTGCATGGCCTTAAGCAGATCCCTGGAGCTCACTGACCAGCCAGTCTAGCCAAAACAATGAGTTCCAGGTTTACTAGAAGTCCTATTTCAAAGAACGGAATGGAAAATGACTGAGAAGTACATTGCTGCTGACCTAAGGCCTCCACACACCTCCCATTCCATACTTACTTTCTCTGGTTGTCAGTCAGGGTGATGCCCTGGGCTGACACCTTGAAATGTACCACTGTGGACACTGGAGGAGGCTCTTGAACCAGGGTCATACTCAGGGCTTTCTGGACTGCCTGGTGACCAGTGAGGGACTCCATTTCCACAGAGTTCAAGTACCAAACATTGCAGGCTGCAAGACAATGGGGAAGGGGTGAGAAGTGCATTAGCCAGGAGGACTGTTGGGGACATACATGCTCTGGCACATGGAGAGAGACCAACCAGAAGAGGAAAGGACCAGGAACAATTTGAATGTATTACCCAGGCCAGGAGCACTGGCAAACACAAGCTCCCTGCTTTCCAATGTCAAGAACATGCTTGCTCCAGGACCAAGAAGAGGATATAACAAGCTACCAGGGGTGGCCTGTTGGGGAGAGAAATGCTGTGTACATTCAGGATCTTTTCTGCCCTTTTCTGCCCAGCAAGAGTAAAGACAATGCTTACATTAACACAAATGCCCAAAAATGTGATGAGTAGGGACACTGAAATCCCTGAGAAACATCCACAAGGTGACTCCATTCTACACACCACCTTGTCTAAAGTGAGGAGGCCATGCAGAGGAGCTGTGGAGAAATGGCTTGCAGCCCAGTAGCTTAGTGCATAGACCCCACCTGCTCCAGCCACATTGCCAGGTGAGGGTGTTCTCTGTAGTCATCTCCTCTCAGGTGGTGGAAGAAAGTAACTGAGTGTAGGTTCAGCCCTGAGGACTCCACTGCCCCGTTTAGCCCCTCTTCCAGCATAACAAGCAGAGGTTAACACATATCTGAGAGTGTAGAAGCTGATTTGTTAGCACAGGGGATGCTTTAGGCTCTGCATGAAGCCCACTCACTGAAGAAAACCAGGGCCTCCAGTGCAGAGATGGAGACAGGCCCTTTCCTAGAAACAATGCTGTTTGTCCCCTCTGAGACTCCTGCTGAGATCTATTACGGTGGCAGCCTTCAGTGGTGATGAGGATAGTAAGAGGGTTTCATGACTTTCACCAGAACAGAGTGGGTGGCTTCTAAAGTGAGGTCTCCTTCTTGGCTTACTTTCCTTTTACACCACTTTCATCTGCCTTTCTGTTTCCTGCCTAAGAGGAAGCAGCACAAAGCCACCCTCAGAAGCCAAGCAGATGACAACACCATCCATAAACTTCAGAAATGTGAGCCAAAATACAGCTTTCTCCTTCATAAATGACCCCATCTTTTATGGTGTTAGAACCATAGAGGGCAGATTAACAATGGAATTGCCCTTGATGGCTTCACTTTGCAGAAGGGGCCATGGGAATATACTAATTCTGCCTCAGATGCCTCAGAACAATGGTTCTCATCCAGTGGGCTGTGAACCCTTTGGGGTCAAAAGACCCTTTTACAGGGGTTTCCTAAGACCACCGGAAAACACAGATATTTACATTATGAAGTATCAACAGAAATAATGTTATGGTTGGGGGTCACCACAACACGGTGTTAGGAAGGGTAAAAACCACGGGGCTAGAGTTTCACTAAGCAGAGGGAAAAACCACAGGACAGGGAGTTTCACAAAAAAAAAAAAAAAAAAAAAAAAAGGTGTCCCCTCCCCATGGTGCAGACCCACACAGAAACTCAGATGAAGAAAGGTGTTCGTCTGTCCTATACACTCTTGGTGAGGTCCCTGAGGTGCCTCTGTCCTCTCTGCTTAGAAGCAGCAGGTATCACACCTTTCGACAGGAGCACTAACAGGAGTCAAGTCAAGGGGACCAGGGAGGACCAGGGGGACCAGGGACCAGAAGGATGCTCCAAGATCTGGCACAGGGCTCCCGGAAGCTGAGCTATGGTGCTATTCCTCTAAATCACATTCTGGGGTCTGAGGTCCTGAAATTCAGGGAGGGAATGCACAGAGTAGCCATGGTGGAGAAGGAAAAGAGGGATGGGATCTTACACTGACAAGCTGATTTAAAGCCCCTGCCTTCATTCAGGAGTTAGAAGAGTCAGCCAGGACTGGAGCTTCACTGGCCCCAGAAGAGAAAGGCGAGGGAGGAAGGTCTGTCCTGCACCAAAAGGGGAATAGATACTGAGAGGAAACAAAGAACCTCACGGGATTGAGACTGCTTTTAGGCAGGATTAGGACTATGGCTGAGCACTTGCCCAACCCCAGCACCGAAAACCAACCCAACAGGACTTTCTAATCTCACAGTTTCATCTGAGGTACTTTTGGTCTGCAAACTTTATTTTGATTTACACTCATGAAAAGGAGCTTGGCCATCCCAGTGTCAAAATGCCATTGTTCCTGAAGCAAAATGGAATTAAGAAATTTCTAACCCAAAATACAATTTTTTACTATTTTCAGCTTAACCTAGTACCTCTAAGTCATAATGATCCCAAAGAGTCCCAAAGAACAGTCTTTTTTTTTTTTTTTATCACCCCTAGTTTGCAGACAAGGAGATTAGGCTCAGAGAGGATAAGAAACATTAGAAGTCACCACCCCTGAGTTCAGGCCAAGGTGACTTTGCTAGAACACACTTCATAGACTACTTCAGATCTGCCTCACAATGACAGGTGAAACCATGAAGGGGAACTGTAAGCCTTGTTGATTTACTTGCATGTCAGCTCCCATCTAAGATAGGGGTTTTCCTGTGTTCTCTTGGGAAAGAGAGCAAGGTGTCAAAAATTCTTAAAATTAAAATTGTCCGAGGCATAAAGCCCACACAGCTCTGATGCAATGGGTACCTTTTACGATGGGGTAGCCTGATCCCCATCTGGATAATTTAGCCACATTTATTGGGAGGAGTTTAAAAGCCTGGAGGTAACCTCCGGGTCCCACTTATTCAAAGATACAAAAAGAAAAATCTTCTATAGCATGTGTGACACAGCTAATCTACAGAGGAAGACATTCATGCCATATGCATTACAGCAGGAAAAATGGAAATAGATTCAAGAATAAAGGAAGGGTTAAATTCATGCTTTCAATGAAATCTGAAGCAACCAGCAAATAGTAATCATGAAAATTATATAGCAACATGGAAAAATGGTTAGCAGGTAATTGGAAAAGCAGAATAAACCGTCTCTGCTATGATTAGAACGATAAAATCAAAAGCATATGTGCCATGAACAGGCATTGGAAAGAAGCCTGGAAAATGGAAAACATACTTCAGGAGGGTGAATACACCACTCTGATCCTGTCATGATGCTCATGCAGTTTCAAATGGTAGTGCATGTGCCTGCGTGTGTACGTGTGGGTTCCTGCATGCGTGCGAGTGTGTGTGCATGTGTGTATGTGTGTGTGTATGTTCTGACATAACTACTATGAAAATCCCATAGATTTGGCACACCTGGATGTGGTTCACAGGAAACCACAGACTAGACTGCTGTCTTGGAGACAACACAAGGAGCTTCCTGATAAGGACTGCTCCAACCACAGTACCAGGCAGGAGCCTGTTGTTGGGATATGTTGGGAGAAGTAACACCCCTGGATGCAGTCCCCCTGTGATCATGTGAGTGGGCCAGCACCAACTCCCACAAAGTCAGGGTCTCTCCAGACACCGTGTGGCCTGCAGAGCCTGTGCTCCTGGTGAGGGGAGACCTGGTGCTATGGTGCTTTATGAAACATTAAACAGGGGAGTGTTGATCAGCAGGAAATTCCCATGCTGGGAAAAGTTTTCAACTGAAGGTAGTTTCAGGTCTGCATATTGAAATTCCTTAGTGTCACTTCTGGGACTTTAGCTTAAGGTCACATGTAGAATTCAGAAAAAAATCCAGTAGAAAGATGGTCCTTCAAGCATGACAGGTAAGCTGGGTGACCATGAAGAGTTGAATTACACAATGGATTGCTATATAACCACAGAAAATTGAGACTTGCATTACATTTGCAAAAACCATGAGTAAACTTTGCATTACACAAACTACAGAAAGGAATGTAAAGGAATCATATACGAAAGACAACCCTAGGGAAAGGGAAGTGACTTATGCCCAGTACAATCTTTGGTTCAGAGAACTCCCAGTCCATCTCCCCCTCTTCCCAGTGTGAAGTGGCTGCACAAGTAACAGGTTTAAGAGTCATTTATACCCTTCTTCTTTTTGGAATTGCCCTGCTTAAAAAAAAAATTAAAAGAGCACACAATCTTTATTAAACTATACTCAGAGAGAACTAAGCTGATCAGTCACACTATCTCCAGACCCATCGGAAGCCTGGTGAAAAAGCCTCTTTTTCCAGGATTAGCTTATACTCCTCAGTTTCAAGAAGAAACAATTAAGAATTGAAGGCTTAAAATACAGAAGCAAATTGTTTCGACTACTGGAACAAAGTCATAAGACATTAGTATCAAATTTCCCATCCTGCACTGACTGCTGTGCTGCTGGGTCTACACTTCTGCTGTGAAGATATGGGACATCTCTAAGGACCTTAGCAGGAGTCTAGCATCAGGATGACAAGTGGAACTCGGTTGGGAGAGTATGGGAACTTCAGTGACCAGACATCAGAATAGCCCCATCCTTTTGATACAATGTCTGTGTTACAGGAATTCTAAATGACCAAAGCTAATCCTTAGGCAAGGATGGTGCACACTCCAACCTCAGTCCTGCTGAGCTGAATCCCTCCCTGCCTTGGTAGTGTTCAGTGGAATGGAAATCCACACTCCCGCTGTGTTACAGTATAAAGGGGGAAAAAAAACCCTCAAAGCAGCCATAAGTTAAGCCTCATGTCTTAATGTCTTACCCTAACAATTAAACAGACTACAAGGTTTGACATGAAGCCTTATCACTAAGAAAGCTCACCTATTAAAAAAGTTAATGCTCTTTTATAAGATGGGAAAATGAATTTAAAACTAGCGAGCTGCAGCCACACATGGGAAATCTATAGCGCACCGCTCCACACAAGACCCAGGAAACATTACAACAGAACCAGAGGTCAGGGATGACTGGAGCTAAACTATGTCTTCTGAATACACCACTGCTACTGCATTCATGAACTCACAGTAGCTTAAGATCAAGCCAGTCAACAGTCCCACACAGCTGGAAGAGACACACAAGCCCCAGTTCCTAGCAAAGGAACCAATGGCAGCTGATGTCTGGTAAAGGAAGTGAGAGCCAGTTTTCCTTTAGGGGTGTGGTTCCTGGAAGGTTTGGCCATGCTTCAGTGGAGGCCCCCATCCCCATGAGTGCACAGACAGAAGTAATTGGGCTCCAGTAAGTTATTAAATTGAAAAAGAGAACATGCGGTGTGGATGGTGACATGCAGGAGGAGGATCTGGGAGGAGTTGGGGTGAGTGTGATCAAAATACATTATAAGAAATTCTCAGAGATTCAATAAAATATTATATTAACACAATGTGCTGGAATTGAAGGGGAAGAATTAATTTCTAAAAACAAGGACAAGAGTGGGCATTAACAGGACTGAATGTCACATTTATTGGATGAATATGGTTAACAGGGAACTGAAGGAGAACTTATGAGCAGAGCAGTAATACAGCAGAGACACTGCAGAGGCACACTGACTGGTTCTGGCACTAATGATGCAGGCAGAGAAGCAGAGCTTTGTTGCTAACACAAATGCAGATGGTGGTATGGGCAAGACGCCCAGCATGATCTGACCAACAGCAGTTACCTCAAGAGCTCCATCCATGAAGTGGGATGAGACCATGCCACCCACTCAGCTCCATGAGGTGAGCTCTCCCAGAGAGGTATGTCACCATAACCCTTTTTCTTCAGTGTTTTTTGTTTTTGTTTTAAATAAACTTGATATATAGTTGTGGTTTCATAACCAACCATTACAGGTTTTTTTTTAAGTACATATTTTTAAGAGGTAGAAGCAAATAACCAAATTAGCCAAAGGCCATACTGATGTCTTCACATCAGTATGTTATAACATTAGTATGCTATGCATCACTATGTATCAGTTTGACACAGGGGTCACAAGCCCAAGCACCGACAACAAACTTAGGGGCTATGAGTTTATCTCTTACTTTATACTCACTGTCTCCTGTAGCCACAGTGAGTTGTGACCCAGGGCCAGTCTGCTCAGGCTCAAAAAAATGACCAGAAGAGAAAGGGAAGGCTGGCTACCCAGGGAAAGGTTTTTCTCTTAGGTCATGAAAACAATTCCCAAAGGCCTCAGTGTCTACTCCTTTTGGTCTCTACCTCTTCTGGATAGGAAGAATATAGTCCATATTGAACAACACAACCTGAGGTCTGTATAGCTGCATACATGTCAGATGTCAATGCTCTGAATGGCAACCTGGCTGGAACCCAGGAATACCACAGTGACACACTTCTAGCTTGGGGCAAGTCCCTGCCACCTTTGTTGTGGCTATCGATAACCCATTTTCTGTAAATCTAAAACACATTTCCACATTATAAACAAGAGAGTGTTCTTTGGTTCAATAGTAGTCACAGTGATGAGTTTAACTTTATAGAGCAGACTACATTAGAAGAATAAGAATTATACAGAAGAGATAAAGAAATTTCTTAGACTTTACCATGGCATTCTAGCTGGATAGTGAGTTGCTCAGGAGATGACAAGAAGTGAGATACCACTATTCATCTATTAGAATGAGCACATCCTTCAGAGTGATGCCATCACACACAGCAAGAATGTAGAAGAAAGGGATGCTTCCTGACTGCTGGTAGGAATGCAAAATGGTACAGCCACTTTGTAAAAAAAAGTTCTGTGGTTTCTTTCAAAGTTAACTATACTCTTAACACATGATCTAGCAATCAGTCTCCTTCATATTTAATCAAAGAAGTTGGAAACATATTGACCAAAAGCTTGCATTTGGATATTTTTAGAAGCTTCATTCATACTTGCCAAAATTTAGAGGCAACCGGATACTCTTCAGAAGCTATGTGGATAAATAAGCTGTGGTTCACCCAGGGCTGGGAAGATACCTTAGTTGGTAAAAATGAGTGTCATGGAAGCTGCAAGCATGAGAATTTGAGTTCTGGCCCCCAGGAAACACATAAAATCTGGGTGTGATATAGGCCCATAACCTTAGCACGGGGGAGGTTGGAACTTCTCGGGCAGCTGGTCTACCCATATCAGTGAGCTACAAGTTCAATGAGAGACTCTGCTTCAAAAAATAAAGTATAGAATAATTGAGGAAGATACATAACATGGACCTCTGCCTCTAAACACATATGCACACACATGTTCAGGCACCCACATGTATCTGTACAAACACAAACACACACACACACACACACACACACACACACACACACACACACACACACACACACATATATATATATATACTCCTGTACTACACACAATGAAAGAAGTCACCCATCCATGAACACCATGATAGAACCTCAATGCATATTACCAGGTGAAAGAAACCAATCTGAAAATGCTACATAATTTGTGTTTACCACATAAGGCATTCTAGAAAAGTCCAAACTATGGAGAGCATAAAAAGATCAGAGGCAGTGGGTGGTCTTAACCATGTGGGTGGAATGAGTAGGGAGAGCAGAAGGGAATTTGAGGACAAAGAAAATACTTCGTGTGACATCATACTGATGAGTGACTACCAAAGATATTTCTTAAGACCATTAACACCAAGAGTGAATTCTCCATCTCTGGGTAGAGCCTTGAGAAATTTAAGCTAGAGGCAATGAATGGGCTCTGATGGGGGAGAATCAGTCAGGCCTAACTACAGGTATACGTGAGTGACACCAAATGGACTCAGTAGGGAGGGGTGTGGGGTGTGTGTGTGTGTGTGTGTGTGTGTGTGTGTGTGTGTAATAACAACCAAAGAAGTAGGGCTCATGAACACGACAGGGAGTGGGGAGGCATGGAAGGGGTAGCAGGGAGGGACAGAAATGGTGTAAATTTTCAAGAAATTATAAATTTTACAAGACCAAGCCCTAGCAGGGCGTTGGTGGCACACACCTTTAATCCCAGCACCCAGGAGGCAGAGGCAGGCAGATCTCTGTGAGTTCAAGGCCAGCCTGGTCTCCAGAACGAGTGCCAGGATAGGCTCCAAAGCTACACAGAGAAACCCTGTCTCAAAAAACAAAAAACACAAAAAACTGAGCCCTAAGTAAACTATGGACCTCACTTAATGATGTAAGGACACTAGCTCATCAGCTGTAACACTGCTGTGGGATGCTGCAAATGAAGAACCAACATTCACATGGGATCTCTATACCTGTTATACTGTCCTGTCATGGATCTAGGAAGTAGAATCTATTAATAAAGATGTTTCAACAAAGCAACCAGAGACCTGGCTCTGGCTGGTATGCCTCACCACACAGATGGCAGAGAGGGTCCAGCAGCTGACTCATGATGAGTGACTGTTGAGTCACTGCTACAGGACTTTTTTGCATTTTCAGCTGCCAAGGCGGGTCACCCACATCCTGCCTTGCTGCACCCCCACCCCCACACTCAATACAGGACTTGACATTTATTCCACTGAATTTGGTCTTGTTCGAGTCAGACCAGTAGCTCTAGCCTCTTATGCCCTGGCCGTGTCTCCTCACAGCTGCACTCCACCCAGCTGTGCCAAGCATCTATAAAAGGAAACCTCCTTCAGAGAGCATAGAAAAGCAGGAAATGACTGTCCAAACGGAAGTGTCAGCATGGAGTTCGGTTCTGCCCAGTAACTTGGAGGTGCAGGGACAGAGAGAACAAGGCTGTGTCCACTGACCTGCCCCCTGTTTCAGCAACTCGGCTGCTGAGTTGGCTGCTGTCTGGGGAGAGTTTTCCGCTATTTCCTCCAGTGGATCTGCAGGAAGATGAGAGAAGAGAAATAAATGTTCCTGACACAGTAGTCCACATGACAAAGACAATTTCATGACAGGACTCCCAGACAGTGACAGTCATTTTAGTCTTCAATAGTTCCATCCACAGAAACTTCAATCCCATCCAGAACACAGATGGGGGTGGCATGGTTCCCCTGAAACATTTTCCTGGACTCTGGATTCATTTACATGAATGATCAAAATTTAAAAGAAAAAAAACCATTTATCTACAGGGAAGCTGGAACACACAATCAAGCCCCATAACTCCTAGATACTAATCTTTAAAAGTTTTCAATTTTCTAACAAATATAAAAGTAAAGAGACTTGTTCATTCATGACCTAAATTTAGCCATAGCAGCTTATGTCCCATTTTGTAAGCCTGTAAATCTGTAATGCAAGTGACCCTGAAAATCAGTCTGGGAATATATGTACACACACGTGTGTATGCATATATAGATTAACTACTTATTTATGTATACATGTTGTACATGCACGTATGTATGTCTGTGGACCTCATGAATGCCTGCTGCACAACAAGACCAGAAAAGACCAGATCCCTCGGATGGGAGTTAATGTACATTTGGGAGCCATCTGACGTCAGTGCTTGGAATTGAACCCAGATCCTTGCAACTAGTGCTCTTAACCACTGAGTCATCCGTCCAGTCCCCGAGTATCTTACATTTTTAAGCTAAAGAGTTTTTGTTTCCTAGAAACCTTCCAATGTGCAATGTCTTGGAGCTGCTGTTTGCAGCAGGGTCTTCTCCCTTCTTAATTCAGGTGGCCACCTGATTTCTTTGGGGTTTATGTAGAACACATGTCATTAAAGAATCTTTGCCTCATTATTTTTTTTAAGGGTCTCTGTAGGTCCTGGGAGCAGCACGCTATGAACAATGCAGAATATCCTACACACAGCCAGTCTACATGGAGGCCTCCACCACATACCTCTCTCTGGAATGAGCAGCTTGCAGGGCAAAGCCAAGGGTGTAATGGAATGCTGGCACACCAAAGCCGTCAGGCTCCCTGTAGAGTGGATAAGAGCAAATGAACATCACCAAGTTCTTCACCTGCTGTGTGTTTAGCCAGAAAAATCAGTTGAGACCAAACTCCCCAAAGCCAAGCCTTTATAGCACTGTGGGATGTGACCCACAACTCCCAGAAATGACAGTAAAGGTGCCAAGACAGTGAAGAGGTCTATCAAGGGACTTGCAGTATATTCCCAGCACATCGGCTTTATAAGTACAAAGTGCCCCGTATTTCTTAACAAGTAGGATGCTAGGCTGCCCAGATGGGGTGGGGGTGGGGGGTTGGGAGGGTTTCTGGTGGTAGCATTGTGCTCTTCCTTGTGCCTGAGGGATGGGGGTCACACTGGGTTCCAACCCTGATGGGACACATTGGCTGCCCTTCACAGTATTTGTTGGCTGTCTTATTCTAGCCCTTGGACGGTCCTTTCATTTATTTGGTTTTGACAAAGCTTTTGAATACAATTATACTTTAAGATTATCTTAGAGACAAGACTTGAGATGGAAGCAGCCTTAGACCTGGGCACTGAAGTTAGAACAATCCACCATGGCAGAGAGGCCCTGGGACTTCAAGCTGCCTGAAGGAGGGGATCCATGCCCCTGTAAGTCTCAAGAGAGCATCTCAAGTAACTCACCAAAATATGGTTCATTGGAGCACCCTTTCAACCGCACTCCCTTCGGGGTACACTCAATCAAGAAATGCCGGACAAGCTCATTGGACAAGTCTCCAGCTGCAGAAAGAGTAAGAAAATAACTTTTAAAATTTAAAGCACAGGGGAATCAGAGTAGGAGGAAAGGCTGGGAAGAGAGAAAGGAGAGATGGATAGATGGTGGAGGGACGGATAGACTAGACAGACAGATAAAAAGATGCCTCCTGCAGATATAAAAGTTAAGAGCTACATCTACGAAGGTTCCCTCTGAATAGCATTAAACTGCTACCTGGAACAGTTGGTGGGCAGTGCTGTAAGCCAGGTGGATAATAAAATCTCTTGAAGTGGAAATGTGGAGATTAAGAGTCCCCCAGAGACATCCTCAGACACTACAAGAACTCCCAGAGAAGGGATGGATTGGCAGCTCAGAATGGCATTGGCCTTGGAGCACTAGCTACATTCCTCCAAGAGAGAAAAGGGCACTGAGGCCAGGCAGAAGAGACTTCTGGAAAGAGCTGGAAGGACGCCAGCCCTCTGGGTGAAGTGGAGCTGACAGCTGGGTGCAGAAACGCCTTTAGCAACAAGCATTCTGCTATGTAGGAGCAGCATTCCACTATACTGCTAGTAAACAGAACACTTGTGTTCATGCCAGCTGCTCAACCCAAACAGAAAAGGCACCAGGAGAAGCCACTGAATGGTCAATGTTCTGAAGATGGAAACGTACAAACTGAGCCAGGAGAAGAGAACTCACTGCCCCAAGCCGCTGAAGTCAGTAGACAGCCTGTGTGCTGTCTCTCTTCTCGTTGCTGTCTTTACCACCCTCCGTAAGAGCTGACCTTTCAATATTGCTAACATTGAAACTTCCTGGTAGCACAACCTGCTGGACCTGTGCTTGGAGTGGTTGCCAGACTCTAGCCTGAGTAGCCTAAACATCCCTAGTCCCAAATCCAAAACCTGGAAAATTTTAGGCACCAGTATGAAGCCATAAATGGAAGATTTTATATCATGAAACTTTGATTCACATACAAACTAATGGGAAATATTGCATGACATTAACTTTAACAGGTGTGAAGTGTGTATGAATTCTATACAAAATGTAAATGAATTTAATGTTAAGGTTTGGGACTTCCAGATTCTGTTCCCAACACCCATATGGCAGCACACAACTGTTAGTAATTCCAGTTTCAGGGTATCAGAAACACTCTTCTGGCCTACATAGGCACCAGAAATGCACAAACTATTCAGGCAGACAATCAGGAAAAGCTCCATACAAATAAAATTATAAAGTAATGAAAAATTTTAAGAACTTGAGCTTCATTCCCAAGATATCTCACTATGAATATATAAATACTTTGAAATCTATAAATAATCAGAAACCTCAGACACATCTGCTTGGGGTCATTTATGATAAGGAATGTTGAGGTGGAATTACGCTCCAAATGATGTTTATAAACAGTAGCACCCATTAGTAACTGTGTGTCAGCATTTTCTAGAGGCAGTCAAGCTTGCAGAGATGGGAATGATGACCCCATGAAAGTCGTTGTCCGATAAAACGGAGGGGATAGACATATGGCCCTTCCTCTGTGGGAGGAGAACATGCAGGACTTCCAATCTAATGGGGAAACCCACTGAGGGTCTGGATTCTACTTGTGGGATAGCCCCACACAGATCCTGCTGCCAAGGGCTTATTGGAATGCAGAGTCTGGAATAGCCACAGTCATCTCATCTCAGGATGACTGGAGGTGGCACAGTGACTCACTGGCTCTTCACTCATTTGGCAATCTGTTCTCTCAAATCTATCCATGGACTACAAAACAAATGTCAAATCCAGACCTGGTGTACACACAGAGGCGAGACCACCATGCTGCCTTTCCTGACATTGCTAGTCACATAGCCTCTATTTTGTTCCTTTATCCTCAGACTTTATAAAGTCTGCCCAAGGCAGGATATGTTCCCAGACTTTGTAATACTTTCCCTTTCCAGTGCTCCCAGGTAAGATCTGGCAGTCCTCAGCAGCCAGATCTAAATGAGTGCTTAGTGAAGAAGGCCCTGTTTCCACCCAATAGTAGTGTTGTGTGGAGTTTCTTATAATGGGAATCCTAGATGTTCTATGACTTGCCCTGCTCTGTCACCAGAAGTCCTGCCCTGCTAGCCCACAAGTTTGGGGCTATGCTCTCTGACTGAGCCCCGGGTGTCTCCCAACCTAACTCCCTAATCTTGTAAGACAAGCACATTCCAAGAAGCTGGTCAGCTACCCATGCTTATGGCTAGCCCATCTGTAACATATCTTACATTCTTGGTGCAGCTAAACCATGTTTGCTCCAGGAAGGTTTCAGCACAGATTTCATGCACTAATTTGGACAGATCTCCTAAGACCCAGGCATGGAGTAGGAAAGCAGGTGCCTCACTTGTCTTTATGTACATGAGGTACCACATCTGTGCTTTTTCTGAGTTCTCTCCCCTGCTAATGCAATGTCTCCTCCTATAGGTCCATGTGGCAAAGGCTCAGTTCCCAGAGGAACTGGTGGTCAGTGGGGATGTGAGAAAGTAGGGAGAGGTCTTAGGGTCACTGCAAGCATGCCCTTGAGGGAGGTGGTGCTTTCTCCTCAACCTCTCCCTCTCACTCTGCAGGCGAAGGGTGGACATGTACTCCCTTAAGCACAATCATGCTATTATCATTCATCGCAGGCCTGATACCAGAGCCAATCAAATGAACTGAACCATCCAAAACTGTAGGCCACAGTGAACCTTATCTCATGGTAAGATAATTAC